GTGACTGGTGCACCCTCGATGGCCCTGGCACCGTCGGTGACCAGTGCACCCCCGATGGCCGTTGGACCCTCGGTGACCTGTGCACCCTGCATGGCTGTGGCACCCTCGGTGACCGTGGCACCCTCGATGGCACTGACACCCTCAGTGACTGTAGGACACTCGGTGACCCTGGCACCCACGATGGCCGTAGCTTCCTCGGTAGCCCCCGGCGGGCTGCCTCTTCTGGACCCCGACGTGAGTCCCCGGCCATCTCCCCCAGACGTGTTCGCCAGCTTCGCGCCACACCCGGCCGCCCTGGGCCCCTCGACGCTGCTGGCTGAGCAGTTGAACGTGATCGGCAGTCGAAAAAAGAGCGTGAACATGACTGAGTGTGTGCCGGTGCCCAGCTCGGAGCATGTCGCGGAGATCGTGGGTCGTCAGGGTGAGTGGCTGCCGTCGGGGGGAGGGGTTGCAGGGGAACTGCTTATTCTCATGGAGAGATGGATGGGGTGGGGGGAAGGAACGAGCTGTGGCTTATTGTAACCCTGTGTGGATGTGACCAGGAGACCCGGGACACGCCCCGCGTGGGTTCTAGGCCTCGGTGGATTCCTTGGCGCCTTTGTTCAAAGCTGCCGGCTGCTGCAGAAGTTGGGCACAGCCCAAGTGTGGTCACTGCTGCCGCCTTTGTCTGGGTTCCTGGGGACAACCACAGTCTATGTGCCTTAGCTGGGGACACCCTGAGACACAGGCCCCTCAGAAGCTGCAGCCAGGGCTGGGCGGTGGGTGCTCCACCCCCCTACCACCATAGACATGGGGCGGGGCAAACTCAGATTTGGTATCCCAGGGAGGGTGCCCGGAGGGTGAGGAGGGAAGTGTAGTAGCTTAGAAGGTGCCTCCCTCAGCGCCCTAGGGGTCCAGACTAGGGTGCTCTCGCTTTAGAAAAGGACTGTAGCCCTAGGCGTACTCTGAGCTTGAGAATCTGGAATTTATAGGAGGACCTCCTGGCTGCAGCTCTCCAGTGGGGTGCACCCCCATTGGAACCCATCTTGACATGCTGACCCCCGGCAGGTCTAGGGTTTAGGGATCCAAGCTACCCAGCGTCCGGGGGTCCCTGCCGCAGCACTGTGGAGCTAGGGAGTGTCTCTGCTGCCCTCCCCATTGTTCTCTTTGTTCGAAAGCCAGGCTGAGATTCGCACGGTGACATCAGGCCAGCCGTTGCTCATTGGCCCTTGAGCTGCCGGGGCGGGCAGGAGGGTGGTGGGCAGTGCCTGTCCCTTCACACACCCACAAGCCAGGACAACACTGGCCCCCAAGTTTCTCCTGCCTTCCCCACCCATAGTAGCCTGCCTCTAGCACCACCCACTTGAAAGGGAATCCACCTGGTTGTCAGAACTTCAGGGCGGGGCTCAGGTATCACTAGGTCCTCTGTAACCAACGGAGGATGTGGGTAGTTTGAATTGGAAGGTCAGCTGTCACCCTCCAGCAGCCAGGGACACCTCATGGCCACCTTCCCTAGTTCCAGGTGGGTGGGGCAGAGCCAGTGTCTCCTGCCTTTTTGGTCGTTCATTTACCTGTTTCATGCTTGCTGAGAATGGACTATGCTAGGCCTATGGGCTCATGGCTAGGAGTGGCAAAGGCGAGGGTGGGGACGTGTCATCTAGTAAGCCAGCTATCCCTTTGTGTAGGCAGCCTCTGCCACTCTGGGCTGGCTTCCCACATAGTCTCCCTCCTAATGCCATCCCCTGTAACTGTACCAGGACCAGTTTAGCGATTTGTTCAGAGTCTGTGTGGACAGGTGTGGAAATCAAAGGCCTGTAGTCTTTTGTCCCAAACCTAACTGCCGCCTCTTCCTGGAGGTAGGTCCTGCCACAGTTCTGTGGAAAGGTAGAGCTGACCACTCTTTGGCGGACAGTCACATCCAGGCGCTCTGTGCTCGGTCCCACCTGCCGTGCAATCCGAATTTCAGGATGTTGTTGGCCAACAGCAAGGCTGGCTGAGTTCACTGAGTGCTGGGGTGCCTCCCCCCCCACGGGACACTAAGCAAATATTCTTAAATCCTGGTTCAATGTGGTACGAATATATAGTGAGAAATGGGCTCAGACCACAGGGGACATGATGCCAGCCTCACTCCCACTCAAGTGCATCCGTCCTAGCTGGCTGGCTGGCTGTGGCTGTGTGTGATAAAACACTGACCAAAAGCAGTTCAAGAGGAAAGGGGAAAAGGTTTATTTTCATCTTCCAGCTACAGTCCTTCACTGAGGGAAGTCAGGGCAGGACCTGGAGCAGAGGCCATGGAGAGTGCTGCTCCCCATGGCCTGCTCAGCCTGCTTTCTTACAGCACCAAGGACCACCACCCTAAGGGTGGCCTCACCTACCAGGGGCTGGGACCTTCCCCCTTCCCCCTTCCCCCTTCAATCATTAACCACAAAAATGCCCCACAAATCATACCCACAGGCCAGTCTGATTGCTGAGGTGGTCAGTTGAGGGTCCCTCTTCCCAGGTTTGCCTAGCTTTGAGTCAAGTTGACAAATCATCTGTCACAGACCCTGACCTGTTGTTCCCTTGCCCTTGTGTCTGTGTGTACACCCACTCCTCTCTCCCCTGGGTTGGTTCCCTTAACTACTCATTCTCACCTATCGACACCCAGGTCATGTACACCCTTTTCTCTGTGACACAGAAGATGTTCCCTTATGTGACCTGCACACCTGACCAGAGCAACAGGGACCAAGGCCAGCTTGTCCCCTGGCATCATGCTGTAGAATAGAATGGGTTGGAGCTTATTTTGGGCCACGCCCCAGGCCAGTGTTCATCACTGACCTGCAGCCCCTGTAGCCCCAGATCTGCTGTTTGTTTGTTTGTAGCCCAGGCAGACCTTCATCTTGGGGCAGACCCTTCCTCAGCCTCCTGAGTGCTGAGGCGACCAATGTGTGCCAACATGGCCTGCGCCTTGTAGCCTCTTGGTCCTTAGGGTCCTACCCAAGGTTACCATCTGAGCCAAGGCATGTGGTCACAACCAAGGAGCAGCTGCTGGGGGTGGGGGAGCCGCTGTATGTGTGTGGGGTCCTCTCATTTACTGCCTCCCCCCAGGTTCACAAGTCTGTCCCCAGTTGCCACCATCCCCCACAGCTGAATCTCAGCTTTGTGTGAAACAGGCAGTCTGTGAGCGGGGCTATTATCCTGTAAGCCCTCTAGTGTAAGGAGCACCTGAAGTGGGGACAGAAGAACCTATACACTGGACTCCAGAACCGCACCCGGTCCTTCTTGGCTTCAGTGCATAGGAATAGAAGAAGCCAAGGCAGCCAGATCAGGGACAAGCCTGGGGCACCTCGGGGTGCCAGTACTTTGTGTACCAGCTTGTTATTGGGTCCCATGGAAGAAGACATGTAGCCAGGAGGGGGGAACAGGCCCAGGAGATGGCAGGAAACTCTGGCCACACTTGAGTGACATGTGTGACTTCCATAGACCCTGAGACCCACTGCTTTCCCGCTGTTTTGCTGGAGACAGGAGTGACACTGTTGCCTTCTGTGCCCTCTGTGCTGGTTACCGCTGCCAGTGTGGTCCAGCTCTGCCTCCCAGGCATCCCACCCCCAGGGGAGCCCCCAGGGCTGCTGGAGAATCTCTGGGATTGTAATGGGGAGATGTCTACAATTCACAGGCAACACCTCCCCCCCTAAGCATCCCAGAGTAATGGCCCACAAGTCTGCCATCAAGCTGAGCTGGTGTCCCCTGGGTGGCAGCCTGGGAGGGCCCTTCAGTGAGAAAACCATGGCAGGCATTCCATACTGTGCCACAGCTCCTCACCCCACGCTGGCGTCAGGGGGTCTAGGACCCAGTGGGGTTCTCAGGTTAGCTCAGGCTTGCCTCAAACTCCTGTCCTCCTGCCTTCATGTCACCAGTGCTGGAGACAAGACTAGGTACCACTAGGTGCTGGGACAGCAGAAGTGTGCCACCACACTGCCATTAAGGGTGAGCCCATTGAAGATGGTGACAGGCTCCTGCCATAGCCTGATTATCGAATTCCCACTAAGGCTGGGGAGGGACACAGTCAAGCCACCGCTGGTGAGTTTGAACTCTGAGGAGGCTACACCAGGTTTCCTTCCTTCCTTCATCCCTGTGGGGAGCAGATTCAAGACAGTGAGGCTGTCAGAGGCCAAATGGTGGGAGTTGGTTCTCTCCTTCCACCACATTGGTCTTGGTGATTTGAGCTCCACTCATCAAGGGTGGCAGCAGACCCTGTAACCCGAAAGCCAGCTGTCCTTTCTTGCTGGGCGCTTAGCCCTGGCCAATTCTTTGCACCCAGAGATGGCAATGAGCTCAGGGTAGGAGGTCCATGTAGTGCCTGGGGATAGACCATGGAAGATGGGTCAGACTTGGGTGTCCTGGGTCACATGTCTCACGTCTTCCTAGGGTGCAAGATCAAGGCTTTGCGCGCCAAGACCAATACCTACATCAAGACTCCGGTGCGCGGCGAGGAGCCGGTCTTCATCGTGACGGGGCGCAAGGAGGACGTGGAGATGGCCAAGCGGGAGATCCTGTCGGCCGCCGAGCACTTCTCGCTTATCCGTGCCACTCGCAGCAAGGCGGGCGGGCTGTCGGGGGCCACCGCAGGTCCCCCCAACCTGCCCGGCCAAACTACCATCCAGGTGCGCGTGCCCTACCGAGTGGTGGGGCTGGTGGTGGGGCCCAAGGGCGCCACCATCAAACGGATCCAGCAAAGGACGCACACATACATCGTGACCCCTGGCCGTGACAAGGAGCCAGTGTTTGCAGTGACCGGGATGCCCGAGAACGTTGACCGTGCAAGGGAGGAGATCGAGGCACACATCACACTGCGCACAGGGGCCTTCACGGACGCAGGGCCCGACAGCGACTTCCACGCCAATGGTACTGACGTGTGTCTGGACCTGCTGGGAGCCGCAGCCAGCCTCTGGGCCAAGGCCCCCCATCCGGGACGGAGGCCCCCAGCCTCCACCAGCGGCCTGCGTGGGGACAGTGTCTTGGGCGCAGCCAGCACCCCTGAGCCCTTCTATGTGGGCAGCCGTGGAGGGCCGCCCCTGCCGGACCCGAGTCCCAGCAGCCCCTATGGGGGCTCGGGCAACGGGGGCTTCACGTTTGGTGGGGACGGACCCGGAGCCCCCACGGGGACAGCCAACCCCGAGGACTGCGACTTTGGTTTTGACTTCCTTGCGCTGGACCTAACTGTGCCTGCCACGGCTACCATTTGGGCACCCTTTGAGCGAGCCGCACCCCTGCCAGCCTTCAGCGGCTGCCCCGCCATCAACGGGGCACCCGCACAACCCAGCACAGGCGCACGGCGCAGCAGCAGCGGAGCCGCCAGCACGCCACGCCACTCACCCACGCTGCCCGAGCCCGGAGGACTGAGCCTGGAGCTGCCCCTGGCACGCAGAGGTGTCCCAGATCCAGTGGGTGCTGTGCCTTGGCGACCCCCGCAGAGCACACTGCCGCCCTTCTCTGGCAGCACCACTTTCTCCACGGCCCCCTCTCTGCCCAGCACCGCCCCGGTGTCCTCCACCCTGGACACTGTTGCCTCGGAGGGCAACCACAAGCCATCCACCACAGCGGCGAACTCCTCTGCATCCGCAGCAGCCCCCAGCCCGCCTGCAGCAGCCTTGGCTCGTGAATGCGTGGTATGCGCAGAGGGTGAGGCTATGGCTGCGTTGGTGCCCTGCGGCCACAACCTTTTCTGCATGGATTGTGCTGTCCGCATCTGTGGGAAGAGTGAGCCAGAGTGTCCCGCCTGCCGCACACCGGCTACCCAAGCCATTCATATCTTTTCCTAGTTGCACCCCTACTTCACGGGGCGGCCCTGGCTTCCCCAAGCAGGAGGTCCTTGGGCCTCAGGGGTGGGAGAGGGGGGACAGGGCAGGGCCTGGCTTGGGAGAGGTGGGGAGGGAGAGGGGCCCATGCGTGTCGCAAACAGCTTTAACTCCTGCAGCAGGCGTCGAGGCCATCAGCTTGCGGCCCAGCGGCAGCGCCTCCGCTCTTGACAAGTGACAGTATTGAGTGAACCGGTGACAATAAAACCGGAGAATTCTCTGTTTGCACTTTTTATTAAGACACCCCTCCCCGTTTCCGGGGTGATCTTAAAACAAAAAAATAACACGATATTTACAACTCTCACTGGATTTAACAGTGTGGATTCTTGTAGAAACTTCCAGAAAAAGGCAGGTGGCTTTTCCCCCTCGACATACACACTCCCTTTTTTGGGGGCAAATATATACCGTTTTGTACATCAGCCACGGGGTGGCCAGAGGAGGGCAAGGGGAGGGTATCAAGGGGTGTCCCATCAACAAATTTATAGCTTTTGTTTTATTGTGGTTTTTTTGGTTTTATTTTTGTTTTTTTAAATTAAGACTCAGTGTTGCAGTTTTTTTGTTGTTTTTTAAAAAGGTTTTTAAAATTTTTTTATTGTTATTTTTACTTCCTATTTCCTGTGTATATGTAGGGAATTTATATTAGATAATGTACTTTACGGAATAAATTTTAAGAACTAAAATATATTTTATTTTAAATAAAGCAACGGACCTTTAATCTTTGACAGCTAAATCACTGATTATATATTTGCTGAACTGATTTAAGGGTTTAAAAAAATTGTATCAAGAGTTTTATTTTTGGACTTGACTGCCTTCTTAATAAAGTTGTTTTCCTATATGTAAGCGCTGGCGTCCACGTGTGGGAGGAGCGGGACCCTGTGGATAGAGGTGCCGATCTGTGCTTGGTTCATTGTTCCCCAACTGAGATCCAGGCTCCCATACCTGATAGTCTGGAATAAAGAGACAGAGTCAGCTGGGCTGTGATGGCCCACTCTTTTAATCCCAGCACTCGGGAGGCAGGTGGATCTCTGAGTTTGAGGCCAGCCTGGTCTACAGAGTGAGTTCCAGGAGGAGAAACCCTGATTTTTTAAAAAAGCACTGGTTTTTGAGATACAACTAGCCCTGGTATGTGCACAATGCTTTGGCCCCCACTGTAATAATATGAGCCATGACCCATGAAGAAGGCAAGTGCCCTTGCAGGATATCTGCCTGGTGAGTATGTGGGGAACCCACCATCCACCCCAGGAACTGCCCTCGCCCACCAGGGCAACCCAGCTGGATGCAGGAATGGCCAACTAAAGAGTTGTATGGTTGCTGATCAGTAGATACCACCTATCTGTTTACAAAGAACCTGGGACGTGTGACAGGCATGTGTCATGGGTATCATGCTATTCTGACATCAGGGCTGGGCTGTGGGGTAGGGTGTGGGCAGCGTCCTATGGGTGGGGGACAAGGCACACTGAGACTTATCCCGTGTATGGAGTACATGACAAGTGAGGACATCACCAAAGTGCAACTTAGTAAGCCAATGAGTCTTATTGGGGTCACATACATGAGCAGAAATGACTCAAGGACAGTGTGTCACAAAGCCCACCCCAGCATGGGTGACAGCTCACAAAGCTGGAACCTGGAGCACACAGCACAGCCTATAGGCAGCTCACAAGTCCAGAGAGTGGCCCGCACCTGGTCAGGTCAGACACACCCTATCCCCAATTGTTTTTGGCTTCGGGACCCCAGAGTGTATGTATGTGCCTCCTTCCTGGCCTTGTTCCAACTCCTAGGAACTAATACACAGCAGCAGGGGGAGAGGTGAAGCCAGGCTATCATGCATGGCAATCAGAAGGAAGGGGCGGCACCCCTTCAGCCTACCTCCTATCTGGGAGCTGAGGGACTGAATTGTCTGAATGAGAGCTGCCTTACCTCTGCCACACACACAAAGATAAATCCCAAAAGCCTCCCACTAGGACCTTATGTCCTAAGGGAGCTTTCTAGAAGCAATGAAGGGCCTGGAGATTCCTGGGTGGACATGGTGACACAAGCTTTTAACCCCAGCACTCGGGAGGCAGAGGCAGGCAGATCTCTAAGGCCAGCCTGGTCTACAGAGTGAGTTCCAAGATGGCCAGGGCTGCACAGAGAAACCCTGTCTCAAAATTTAAAAGAAAATACCTGGATGTCATCCTGGCTTAGAACCCCAGATGCTATGATGGGTGTCCAGGGAAAACAGACTGGCTGCCACTGCTGTGTCACCCACATGGGTCACATGCCACCCACCCGCCACTCAGGTTGAGGATAGAGGCTGGTGAGTTCCAGGCCAGCCTGGGCTACATAAGAACCTGTCTCATGAAACTAAAAAAGGGGACAGGGACGACTTGGAGCTGTGGCTGGGCAGACCATTTACCCAGCATGCATGGGGCCCTGGGTAAGCTAGGAGAACAGTTAAAGGCTGTCATCCCAGCACTCAGGAGACTGAGACAGGAGGATTTGGAGCCAACAGTGAAAGTCAGCTAGCATAGGAGGTGACAGCCTGGGACACAGCCCAAGGACAATGAGACCTCAGCCTTCTGATTACAGAATCAGTCTTCCCTGATGTCTCAGTGACTCCACTGAGGCTCTTTGTCCCCACAAGCCTGGCCCCGAAAAACTTCAAGGGTTAGTGGCAGGTCAGCGGGGTCACCTGGGGGCACAGGACACGTAGCCTGGCTAAACTGCAGAGGAGGGTGTGAGGGGAGGGCATGCCGATGGCAGCATCCAAGAATCCACAGTTTGGAAACGAAGAGAAAATGATCCTCAGGCCGCCAAGGGCTCAGAAACAGGACAGGGTACATGGGCAGCCTGGAGGGAGCCTAGAGAGAGTTCCAAGTGGCACCGTGACCCTGTGGCATGCCCCCCCAAGGGAGCTTGAGTGTGACTCTACCAACAAGCCCCACCCTCTTTTCACTTAAGTCTAAAACTTATTTTGACTTTTTATGCTCATGGGTACGTGGCTACCTGTATATTAGCGGGGTAGATGGTGCCACAGCACTCCTGCAGAGGTCAGAGGTCAGCCTGAGACAACAAACACACCTGCTGAGCCATCTCACAGACACTTTAATCTGCTATGTGTCTTCACTTTCTTTTTTAAATTTAATCTAATGTTTTATGTATGTTTGTCTGCATGTCTGAGCACCACGTGCATGCAGTACCAGCAGAGGCCGGAAAAGGGGTGTTGAGTCCCCAGAACTGGAATCACAGGTGGTTGGTTGTGAGCTGCATTGTGGGTGCTGGGAACACTGCATCTGCTATGGGGGTAGCTGGTGCGCTAACTTTCTTTCTTTTTTTTCTTTCTTTCTTTCTTTCTTTCTTTTTTCTCTTCCCCCTCCTCCTCCTCCTCCTCCTCCTCCTCCTCCTCCTCCTCTCTCCTCTTCTGGTTCAAACTCACTATGAAGCTAGAGCTCATAGTTGGAGGCAGGGCTACATGGAGAAACCCTGTCTCAAAAAATCCAAACAAACTTTTTTTTTATTTTTTTATTTTTGGTTTTTGGAGACAGGGTTTCTCTGTAGCTTTGGAGACTCGCTCTGGAACTCACTCTGGAGACCAGGCTGGTCTCGAACTCACAGAGATCCACCTGTCTCTGCCTCCCGAGTGCTGGGATTAAAGGTGTGCACCACCAACGCCCGGCCCAAACAAACCTTTTAAAAATTATTTTTTTAAATGTGTTTCTGTGTGTTGTGCAGAGGCCAGAAGGAGTGGGGCATTGGGTCTCCTGGAGCTGTAGTAACAGACAGTCATGAGTCATTTAACACGGGTGCTGAGAATTAAACCTGGGTCCTCTGCAAGAGCAGTCAGTGTTCTCAGCCACTGGGCATCTCTCCAGCCCGGGTCGTTTGTTTAGTTAGTGTGTGTGTGTGTGTGTGTGTGTGTGTGTGTGTATGTATGTGTGTATGGTGTGTATGTGTGGTGTGTGTGGTGTGTGTGTAGTGTGTGTGTGTAGTGTGTGTATGTGTGTATGGTGTGTGTGTGTGTGTGTGTGTGTGTAGTGTGTGTGTGTGTGGTGTGTGTATGTGTGGTGTGTGTGTGTGTGTGTGGTGTGTGTGTACTGTGTGTGTGTAGTGTGTGTGTGTGTGTGTGTGTGTGTGTATGTGTGTGTGTGTGTGTGTATGTATGTGTGTATGGTGTGTATGTGTGGTGTGTGTGGTGTGTGTGTAGTGTGTGTGTGTAGTGTGTGTATGGTGTGTGTGTGTGGTGTGTGTGTGTGTAGAGGTTAGGAGACCATCTGCAAGAGCCCACTCTCGGAAAGCAAACGACTATCAGCAGGCTTGGCTTAGCAAACTTTACCTGTTGAGCTACCCTGAATGCTCCTGTCTCCACCTGTAATCTCAGGATACTGAAATCACAACACACAGCTTTGTCCAGCTTCGTGTGGATTCCAAGTGTCTGGCAGGCACTCTTCCCACTGGGGATCTCCACGAGGTCCCCAGTTTTCTGAGTGCTGAGGTCACACTCCACTTGCAATTTTTTCTTCTTTTAAAAATTATTTTAGTTTTCCAAGACAGGGTTTTACTGTGTAACAGTCCTGGCTGTCCTGGAATTCACTCTGTAGACCAGGCTGGCCTCTGCTTCTAGAGGGCTAGAATTAAAGGCGTGGGCCACCATTGCCCAGCTCATCTAACATACAGGTGTAGACATTGTTCTTGCTGCACAAACAAGCTCATCAAGGGTCAAAGAGCTGACCCAGTGAGATTTCCCAGTGGTTAGAACACTGGCTGCTCTTGCAGAGGACCAGGGTTCAGTCCCCCAGCACCTTCTGGGACCTGACACCGTCTCCCAGTCTCAGTGGGTAGCAGGCATATATGTAAGCAAAACACCCATACACATTAAATAAAATTTTAACCCCAACACTCGGGGAGCAAGTGTAGCCCAGGCTAATGGGGTGACACAGTGACACCCTATAAAAACAAAACAAACAGAGCCAAGATGAGGCTTGGTGGGTGAGGGTACTTGATGCCAAGTTTGAGGACTGGAGTTGGATCTCCAGGACCCACATGGTAGAGAGAAACAACTTCTACAAATATGTTCTCTGCATTCCACAGGTGTCATAGCAATCCCTCCCAACACACACAAATAAGCAAAAAATGTGACTTAAAACATAGCAAAGAGTTGGGCGATGGTGGCACACGCCTTTAATCCCAGAATTTGGGAAGCAGAGACAGAAGGATCTCTGTGAGTTCAAGGCCAGCCTGATCTACAAAGTCAGTTCCAGGACAGCCTCCAAAACTACACAGAGGAAACCCTGTCTTGAAAAACTATCAATAACAACAACCAAAAACAATAAACAGCAAAGTAACAATTTCAGAAACATCCCCAGTTTCCAGGCTCCATCATCTAAACAGAGCCAAAGACACACTGCATGGGATCATCCCTGACCACAAGGAAACAGGATAGCCACATAGATTTCCTTGCAGTGGCTAAACTATAATAAAGCCAGCAAGTCACCTAGGACAGTTACAGGATCCAGCCAGCCTCTACAGGTGGAAGGGAGGATCAGGAGTTCAAATCCAGCCTGGGCTACATGAATTGGAAGGTTGGCTTAAGCTTCATGAGACTGTCTGATGAAATGGGGACATGGGAGACAAAAATATTTGAATCTCTGCCCCAGAGACAAATGCTTGATTTCATCTATATTGTTTTCTTTTCTTTCTTACTTTCCTTTGTTTAGAGACAAGTTTTTTCTGTGTAGTCCTGGCTGTCCTGGAGCTTGCTTTGTAGACCAGGCTGGCCTTGAACTCAGAGACCCACCTGCCTCAGCTCAACATACAATTCTGTGATTAAAGGTGTGCACCACTATTCCTGACATTTTCATTTC